CCAATTTTTCATAATACCATAAATTTGGCTTAAAAAAAAAAAACAAGATTCATGTCATGCAAATTCTTAATGATGCCATATGGTAAGCAGAGCCAGGCAAATTTTAATGGGATTTTATAAGGAGTTGAGCAAATTTCATGATGCAAAGTACAAAGAGCAAAGGCAGCAAGCAATATATTTCCACACAGAGTGGTGAAAAATAATGAAAGCGTCCTGTATAGGCACTAAATTACATGCTGTATGCTTTACACAAATGATCATATTTAATTACTGCAAAGCTCTAATTAAGTACTGTAGATACAATTATTCCCAATTCAGGAGAGATACTGAGACTGTGAGCCATGGTGTATCTTGCAAGGTCACATAATCATTACAAAACTGAACAGAAATTTCAGTTCAAGTGTGTCTGACACTAAAGTTATGCCTCCTCTCTAATGTCTTCCTTTAGCAAATAAGAGCCCAGGGAAGAACAAAGGCAACTGAAAGGTGTTTCTTTCAATCATGTGACAATGTGTTTGCCACCCATCACTCAGGTAAAACCTAAGTTAGGAGGGGAGACCAGAAATCAAAGAAAAATGTGACCAGGCCCAAATCAGAAGTCTGCATACAGAAGCCAGTCCATGGGCAAAAGCAAAGGGAGAGGTTCAGAGGAGGCAAGTCTAATAGATTCCTTTTCCCTCCATTATAGGCACCAATTTCCTTTCTTAGCTCTAAAAACTTTTATTATTACATTTTATTCTTCAAAAACACTTGTGATATTATTAGATATATTTTCCAAGAGTAGCTGTAGTTGATAACTATAGAAATGTCAATTTTTATTTTGAAGGTAAATTTCAAGTGTGTCCTAAATGCTCCTCAAGAATTAAAATTTATATATCATAACACTTCAGTGATATTAACAGCTCCTTTTGATAACAAGTCAGTCATTGTTTTATTCATGTTTACATTTAGATTTTCAAAACTGAGTTAGATTTTTGCTATGATTACTCTAAGCTCCAATTTCAACTTGTCAGAAATTCAACCAAAATTCAAATGATTGGAATTACTCTATTCCTCCAAATAGAATTACCTAGTTTGATGAAAAAAAGAGACAAAGGACAAATAAACAAACATCAAGTAGAAATGTATTGTTTAATTTTACTTTTTTAGTGAAATTTGAAAATTGGCATACCTCCTTTCCCTTTAAATCATATTACATAATTCACTCTGTTTGTTTATGAATTTTTTCCAGAGTATAGTTTTAGTATAGCAATGAGCACGCCAAATAAATGTTCTATACTTAACATCAAAATGTGTTTATTATGACAGTGAAGTAAATTAGGAATTAAAATGTAATTAAATTAGTTCTTAAAATGATAATTAAATTAAGATAAATTGAAGTCAGCAAGGCCTAGTGTTTGGGAAGAGAATATTAGGAGATAAAATATCAGGGATAAAACCTGAAGCCAAAGAGAACACATCTACCCTGTTTCCCCCGAAATAAGACAGTGTCTTATATTAATTTTTTCTCCCAAAGTTGCGCTAGGTCTTATTTTCAGGGGATATCTTATCTTTCCCTGTGCTAGGTCTTATTTTCGGAGGATGTCTTATTTTCGGGGAAACACGGTAGAATGGCCAGAGGGGCACATGGCTTAAGAGACAGCTGGAGAAAGAAAGGGGCACCCAGACAGGGTACACTTAGTGGGTCACGGTAGAGGGTCTGGGCTTCCATGTAAGAGCAACAGGAAGCCATTGAAGAGTTTTACCCAAGAAAGTTGTATGGTCAGATCTAAACTTTTCAAGGAATCACTCTAGCTGATCAAGGCAGGGGCAAGAAACGATACGGGGAAAGAAGTTAGGAGACTAGAGCAGTGGCCCTGTAGAAGTTGATGGTGGCCTAAAAGGAAATGTTGGCAGTGAATTAGGTAAAGGAGAGATCTAGGTGTGAATTAACATTATAATAAAAGCAATAAAGAGTTGGTACATGAAGAAATTATTTTAGAAAGATAATAACTTTGACATGACCTAATAGGTATTCTTTTCTCTAAATAAACAAAACAAAATTATCTTATTAATCATTTAATAAAACTATAGAAACCAAAAGCAAGTAAACATTATTAACTTTTATGCTGTCACCCATGTACTAAAAAAATACTTTTCAGATGAATAATGTTTATTTATACCTTTAAAATAAATAGTCTCACATCCAACATACCATGTAAAAATATATATATAAATCCTTACTTAAAAAAAAAAAATCAATTTCCAGATTTTGTGTTTTGTTTAATGTTCAAAATCATTATTACTTTTCTTAAATTCTTCTTTCTTTTCCTTATCATCTATGCCATGCTGATTTCTTTATAAGAAATTATTAAATAGTTAATATATTTTAAATAAAAATGAAATGTCCTTTAGCTTCTGGAAAGTTCTAAGGAATATTTTCTTATTTTCTCTCTTCCATAGTCCCCTACATCCTGCAGAGGACCATCTTTCCTGCTTCATAGAGGAAAAGAGCCAGAAATCCCTCAATTTACTGCCCTTCTCTGGTCCAACCACAGGTCGACATCACACCTATTATTTATTCCATCCGGTCTCAGTGAAAAAGGGTTCCTTTTCCTGGATTTGGGTTACTCTGGAACCATGTTCTCATGAAATCTAGTGAAGTGGAACTGCTGGACCACTGCTCCAGTTCTTATTCCCTACAAATCCTCAAGTCACAACTCCAACAACACCCCCCTTCCTTACATTTCAGACCACTCAGTTCTTGGTGCTTTCCCACTAGCATATCCATGTTGATGCTCCTTCCATCTTAGCACTGCTGGACCGCTGCTCCAGTTCTTATTCTCTACAATTCAAACCACAACTCTAACACCCCACTCCCCTTCTTACATTTCAGACCGCTCAATTCTTGATTCTTTCCCATTAACATGTCCATGTTGATGTTTCTTCTATCTTAAAACCACATGCTATAGCCTTTCTAACAAACTCTCTTTGCTTTATTGATTTTTTAAAAGGCATCATCAAAGGCTGTTTATATTCCTCTGCTCATTTGATGTTTGGGTATGCTTCATTATAATGTCCGTTTTAAATAGGATGAGAAGGCTCAGTAAATAAACTTTTCAAAGGATGACACAGTTTGGATAGAATTCTAATCAAGGTGTTCTTATTTAAGCTTTTACTTAGGAATAAAAATCTTGATGCCAATAGTGCCATTAAGTGTAATTCTTCCTTTTACGTTTATTTTTCTAAACAGTAGTATCATAAAGATTTGATCCATTTTTTACCAAAAGGGATATGTGTGAATAATGAGAGTACAAACTTATCTTTAAAAAATATGTGGTTGTTCTAAGTACATGACCTTTTTCTGATTTTTAACCTGTTAAACACTATTACATAAATATTCATGTATTTTTTATGGTAATAGTTTAAAAATAATGAAAGATAAATAAAGTATTGCTAGTATATTGTTTTATACTATAGAATAACAGATATAAAGATGTTGTAATTTATACTAAGGTGAGTAAAAGGACAATATGATAAAGAAAACATATTTTATTTAATTTACCCAAATTCAATTTTATCAGTATTAAATAGTCCAAGGAATTAACATTACATTTTAGAAGAGTAGTCTAATTGTACATACATCAACAGCATAATGACTATTATCTCAACTAAGTAATCTTAAGACCTACAAAAGACTCTTGCTTGCAGTAGGTAATTCCTAGTTTGCTCCAGTATATTATGATTTTCTAATTATTTAGCTATCCTTTTCAACTAATTTAGCCAGATTATTGCTTCAACAAAAGTAACCATTTAATGTCAATACACCTTTGTCACTGAAGTCTTTAAAGTGTTCATTTATTCTATAAACATTCAGTGAGGATGTACTATGGGCAGGGAACTATGGTCAGGTGCTCAATGTAGGAAGATGGAAAATGGGTGACACAGTTGCTATTGGAGGCAGATCAAGGAGAATGTCCATAGCACATGACAATTACTAGTAACCTCAGGAAACTCCTGAAAGAATATTCATTTAAACATAAACATTTAACCAAGTGAACACATAGGCAAATTCTATACAAATGCAATTTAATACGTAATATCTCCTAATGGCTAACGTACATCTAACAGTCCTGTGTTTCTCAAATGTCATAGACTAAAGGAACAAGGTAATGTTTGGTTATACGAGGAACCATACTTCTTTTCAGAAAATATAAATTTGCTTCTTTACGTAAAGAAAGTGCTACTTGTGTAAAGTACTCTGAATATTTTCCTATCTCTGCAGGGCTAGGGTTTTCTGAACACTGACAAGTGGAATTTGGGTTAAGAGACAAACCTGGGCAGTTAAAAGATGACTGAGTGGCTGAACAGATAGTGAGAGACATCTGGAAGGGTTTACCTCCCAGGAGGCAGGTAACGACGTTAACATTTCAAAGGAGGGAGTGGGGGGCTGTTGAAGCCTGAAACCATGTATTTATATTCAAGGCTTTTACATTAGGGAGTTGAGGTTTCTCTCCCTCTCTCCAAGAAGAGGAGAGCAGCTGTATGGCAGCTCCTATAGAAATGCCCAGGGTGACAACCAGGGGCTCTTCCCCAGGGGGTCGGATCTCCCTTCTGGTGCTTGCAGAGCCCACCATCTGCCTCTCTTCACAGGGCTCTGAGGGGGACATGGAATGTTATGAAGTGATGTGCTTATTGCTCTAAGAAATAATAGACTGCCTGGTTCTAGAAACTTCATAGATGCTTTCAGAACAAAATAAATGAATGCATATGTTGAAATCTTACATTGTAAATCAGAGCTGGGGGGGGGGGGATGGTTTCTTTGAAGACAGAGCTTCATTATACTCATTTTCAGGCAGATCAAGTTACCTTAATAGTCAATAAATGATCTTATTCCACAAAAACAACACACTGATTTTTATCATTTTTTTTGTCATAGGATTTCAGGGCAATTAAAAGCAGGGAGACTTTAGTGTACCAACGTAAGGCGGCCTAAAGAAACAAAGAGAAAAATCACTTACTTGATATTATCAAGGCAGCCCGATTCAGGTTTCAGAATGGCAGTATGATGAAACATTTTATATAAAGCAATCCCAAGGAAGATTACATTAAGCTGGAATGTAAAAGGTACTGTTATGTAGCATAACTGGACTAGAAAAGAAGGGCGTCTATTCACAATAACAGATGAGTTGCTCTGGGAAATTAACTCTCACTCCACTCTTCAAGGAATTGGACCACAGATGATTGCCTAGTCTTTTAGGAAAGGCAAGAAGCCAGTTTGGGGACTGGAATGCCAAGGAGGTACAAAGCGCTGTTATGCCAAGTACAAGCAAATACTAAAATCGATCTATTTTTGAACCACCGAATAAAAAAAAATTAGAAAATTGTGGTGAAATTCTGATATTAAAACAAACTAGGCTTGCCCTGACCGGTTTGGCTCAGTGTATAGAGTGTTGGCCTGCAGACTGAAAGGTCCCAGGTTCGATTCCGGTCAAGGGCATGTACCTTGGTTGCGGGCACATCCCCAGTAGGGAGTGTGCAGGAGGCAGCTGATTGATGTTTCTCTCTCATCGATGTTCCTAACTCTCTGTCTCTCTCCCTTCCTCTCTGTATAAAATAAAATACATTTTTAAAAAAATCGAGGCTTAAGGTAGCGGGAACCTCCACTGAAGGTATTATATTACTGGAGACAGAGACAGCATATTATTTAAAAACAATACAAAACATTAAAGTTCAAATTCCATATAAAGTGCAAATTCCATATATCAGATATATGTAAACTGTGTAGAAAGCCACATGTCAAATTGCCCTTGATCACCTAATTTGTTTATATATTGGGTCGGCAACTAAGTAAGTGCGGGTTCCACACATATATGGCTTCAGTTGAATTTTTAGGTTTGCAGACGTAGTACAAATGTAAAACACATTTTGTTATTTGATAGTTGGCTATTCAGCTGTTAATCAGTAAAAAAAGTTTTTTGATCTGTTTTGTAGTTTTCGTTTGGCGTTCATTGAAAAATGGAAAATCAAAAGGAACATTTTCGTCATATTTTGCTTTTTTATTTCCGCAAAGGGAAAAACGCATCGCAAGCTCATAAAAAGTTATGTGCTGTTTATGGTGACGAAGCCTTAAAAGAACGGCAGTGTCAAAATTGGTTTGCCAAATTTCGTTCTGGTGATTTTTCACTCAAAGATGAAAAACGCTCTGGTCATCCAGTTGAAGTTGATGACGCCCTAATCAAAGCAATAATCAATTCGGACTGTCACAGTACAACACGTGAGATTGCAGAGAAGCTTCATGTATCACATACATGCATTGAAAATCACTTAAAACAACTTGGCTATGTTCAAAAACTCGATACATGGGTTCCTCACGAACTGAAAGAATCACAGTTAACGCAACGCATTAGCAGCTGCGATTTGCTAAAGAAACGTAATGAAAATGATCCATTTTTAAAACGACTGATAACTGGCGATGAAAAATGGGTTGTTTACAACAATATCAAGCGGAAAAGATCGTGGAGCAGGCCAGGTGAACCAACTCAAACAACATCAAAAGCTGATATTCATCAAAAGAAGGTTTTGTTATCAGTTTGGTGGGATTACAAAGGAATTGTCTACTTTGAACTCTTACCACCCAACCGAACGATCAATTCTGATGTCTACATTGAACAACTAACGAAATTAAACAATGCAGTTGAAGAAAAGCGGCCCGAATTGACAAATCGAAAAGGTGTTGTATTCCATCATGACAATGCAAGGCCACACACATCTTTGGTCACTCGGCAAAAATTAATGGAGCTTGGTTGGGATGTTTTGCCACATCCACCATATAGTCCTGACCTTGCACCATCTGATTACTTTTTGTTTCGATCTTTACAAAACTCCTTGAATGGTAAAAATTTCAATAATGATGATGATGTCAAATCGTACCTGATTCAGTTTTTTGCTAATAAAAACCAGAAGTTTTTTGAACGTGGGATTATGATGCTGCCTTAAAGATGGCAAAAGGTCATTGATCAAAATGGGCAATACATTACAGAATAAAGTTATTTAGTTCCATGAAAAAATTGTCTTTGATTTTCTTTTAAAAATCCGCAATTACTTAGCTGCCGACCCAATATTTCAAAACTTGGGATTGGTGGGAGTAGGAAAATCCAATTGTGAGCCCCAAGTCTAAATGATATGGGGTTATTATCCTTTATCAAATTCAAAAAGTCTGAAAAGTAAACGTTTAAAAAATTCATTGGGTAACAAAAAGCCTGGCCTGAACAGAACCCATTTGGAGGGAGAGCTTGATTTGAATGGATATAATATCTTCATGTCTTTATTCTATTTGATCTTAGTTTTCCTATAACTTTTTTTCTGCTGAATTATTGCTGTTTGGTTTCAGAGTCTTGCCTACTCCCTACTGTGAGTACTGGATGCTATGTTTGATTTGGGGCAACTGCTTATTTCTCACTAGGGATAATATATAATATGCAGTACAGATACCATATGACCTTGATAACATTTTTAAAAATTCTGAATTTCAAAATATACCTGGCTCAAAGGATTTCAGGAATTGAGTTGTAGACTGAGATTTTATTAAAAATCAAAAGGCTATTTTTTTCCCCAAAAAATGGACAGCAACTTTTTATTTCAAATTGTTAAGTTTGTAAATGATACTAACAATTAAATCTAACTGAGAATAAATAATTTCTATTTGAAATCAAGATAATACGCATCTAAATAAAAAAGAGAAGGCATGACTCTGGAATGCTTGCTTGAGGCATTTTTATATAAAATCCTTTTAAATTTTAAAGTTTTCAAGATTTATGTAAAAAAGAAAACTATAAGGAATAGTAAGGTATTTTGCCACTTTCTAATTTCTAGTTCCATTCATAATTCAAATTATCCAAATGGAAAAAAGAATGGAAGTGGTCAAACTTAAAAGTCATCACTATTCAAAATCTATAAACCCAAATGGATTATGTTAGATCAGGCTCCTCAGGAACCAAAGCAGCACATAAACTTGAAAATGCATGTTCTCTTCTCACAGTTGTTTTGATTAAGCATTTTACAAATATAAAAGTAGACTGTAATGAGTGTCTAATTGTTTGAGTTCATGGGGTCAAATCAGTACAGGTTTTCCCCAAAGTAATCTATGTAAATTAAAGATTGTAAGTATAGGGATAGTCAAAGTTTCATTTCTTGACCCGGAGACCACAGAGTTAATTAGGAGTTCTTACCATAATGATCAAGGTCGCTGGTCCTATAAAACTCCAAATGAAGTAGGTGTCAAGTCGGAGCCAACATCTGCAATGAAACACAAGGGAGAAAAGGCATTCAAGGACTGGGTATGGGACATACATCAAGAGTGAGCGAGTGACAGAGAAGAATGTGAGCTGCAAAGCATTCCACTGGGAGACAGGAAATATTACATTGCTTGTTCATTTAAATGCTGAATTACGTGCCCAATTTCTGACAGCGCTATTGAGGAGTCAGATAATTACCCCTGGAAGAAGCAGGGGAAAATGGCACTGGGCTTATTTGCTAAGGCCTTTTGTCTGTCATAGAAACCTGGGAGGGTGAGGGGGGGAAGAGAGAGAGAAAAAGAGAAAAAAAAAGAAAAAGAAAAGAGCCATACACACAGCCTTTAAATCGAGTCGCCTTAAGCTATCCTTTTCTCTTCAATTATGGTGCTATATAACCTGTCTATCAGCTGTCAGGCAAAGTGACATTTTCCTGTCAGGAAGATCTCGGGAAATTCTGTACAAAGAGGAAATAAAATTGGTATCGGAAGATTGAAGTTTAATTAGGTTGGGCAGCCAACCTTTGAGAGTTCTTGAGTCTTCAAAAGTGCATTGTTACTGCTAGTGCTTCTGGGGTTGCAAATGATCCTTAGCATCCCATGAAGTTGATTCATGACCCAAAAGTAAATTATTAATCACTTAATTTCAGCTACATTTAATACTCCCCCAATTCGTAAAGCCTCTGGGAAATTACATTTTCATTCTCCAGGATGACAGGAAGACAAAATGGAAGTGACTAGTTATGAGAAAGATTAATGTAAATTTTGAACAAATTACATTTGATGTTAAAAATCATATCTTGAATTATTTGCCATTTTCCCATATTTGAGCCATGCTTTAAAAATAAAATAGCTCCAGTTGAAACTATTAAAGAGTGATTTGCTAAATAGTCTAAAACTGCAAGTCCGAAATATGTAAATATAGTGTGGGTGTTGTTTTTTCTTCTTCAATAAAAGTGTTATTTAAATCTCAAAAATAATAAAATACTAAGAAAAGCTATGAAGAAAGGAATTTGTAAATGTCCATCAATAGAGAAATAGGTTAATAAAATGTTTTTCATTCATATGATGCAAAGTTACAAAACAGTTAAAAGAAAAGAAGTAACTCTTTATGTCAATAGGATAGGTCACAGTAAATTAATTAATATATAGGTCACTTAAATTAATATATATATATATATATATATATATATATATATATATATATATATATATATATCAATTTAAGTTCTTTATTGTTTAATGTATTACACAAGTCTCCTTTTTCCCCCCGAATTGACCTCTCTCCAGCTGTCCCCAACCCCCAGCATATGCCCTCACCCCCTCTCCCATCTGTGTCCATTGGTTATACATACAAGTCCTTAAATTTAAGTGAAAAAGTAACATGAATAATTTATGCCACATACCTTTGAAATGTATATATACATGCCTAAAGCAATACATTTTTGAAAGATTCATATATGTACATAATATTCTTCTAAATGAAGGGAAAATAAACAAATTCATTTAGTAGTTGCCTCTCACATGAGAGTAGAGAGGATTAGATATACTGTACTTGGATCAAAAGGACTTCAGCCATATGTTTTATTTTAATAATTCCTGAAAGCAATGTGGCAAAATTCTAATAGTTTTAACATTTGAGTGGTACAGACCCAGACAGTGTAGCTAAGTGGTTGAGTGTCAACCTAGGAACCAGGAGGTCACGGTTTGATTCCTGGTTTGATTCCTGGTCAGGGCATATGCCCAGGTTGCAGGCTCAATCCCCAGTGGGAGGTGTGCAGGAAGCACTGATCAATGATTCACTCTTATCATTGATGTTTCTCTCTCTCTCTCTCTCTCTCTCTCTCTCTCTCTCTCTCTCTCTCTCTCTCTCCTCTCTAAAATCAATAACAACATTTTGAATTTTTTTTCTGGACTTTTAAATTTATAAAAGATTTAAAGCTACTATTTTTAAGCAAAAAAACCCCCAAAACCCACATTCCCTGAAAAAAATCAACACAATTTCAAAACAATAAAATATAGCCACCTTCTATTAAGTTAAATATATGCAATGTAATTTGAATAGAAGTATCATATTTATACTCCAATAAGAAATTGACTACAAGTTCATGTTTTTACACAGACAGATAATTTCACTTTATTTAAAATAGCCATAATAATAATCCTATTTGAAAAAAATACTATTCAATATTAGGGAAACAATCATTACTTAAACTACCAGCCATTATTTTATTTGAGTAATTGGTCATCTTTTTTTGTGCCATTGTTCAAAAAATTGGGCTACAGAAAATAAGACTGTGGTGCTGCCAATAAGCAGACACAGACCAGAGAATGGAAGGTTGAAATATGAACACTCTTCATTTTGATAGAGGCTAGTTTGTTACCACTCTAATAGCAGTGTTTACAGTCGGGGTGGAGAAAGAGGAGGGGCAATATTTACGGGACCCTAAATTCTCAACGAATACCGTATTTCCCCTCAAGATAAGAACAATAGAGGACAAAGCATAAAGCATGGACATTTTCCCAGATTAGAAAACACACACATATACACACCAAGAATGTTGCCGAATGTACAACATGATACAATACTAATGTTACATTTAAGAATGAATGTCAATTGTACAGACCCTGTCTTTTGTAGCTCAAACACGTTTTTGATACCTAACCTGAGAACTAAAACACATTTTCAGCCAATTCTTTCAAAATGAAAATGTTTCAAGAACTTCTGAAAACGTTCTTCTGAAGTTTAGGATTTTCTTAGGAAAAAAAAAAAATTTACATTATTACAGAGTATCTTGGCCTAAGTAGGGAATTTCAAATTATAAATAATCTTACTAAATGTTTTGTTAAAATGAAATATTGTAAATTTTAATCAAATAATTAAATTTTATAATTATAATGCTTTACTTTAAGAAAAAAACCACTGTCTCAGCTTAGCAAATGCTTTATCTGGAAATTTATGTGCTTTGGCATAGTGGTCTCTAACTGTGGAAGTGACATCGCTTTAGAAGTTACTATTTTTATCTTTTAAGAATATTCTTCAGCATCTCTTTGCTACGATGATAGATTTAAATTCCGCTTGGAACTGAGCAGAGGAGGCGGCAATGTGGAACACTTCGAATGTGCTGAGTAAATGGTCTTTCCTGAGCAAGGCCTGGGCTTCCCTGTCTTCTGAAAGGCAGCGTGGCATGGATCCCTTCTCTAATTTGATTGCCATATGGCCACACCTGCTGTTGTTTTTGGCCACATGCTGGCTTTCTCAAAGCTTTCTGAATTTCCTCTCTTTCCTATTAACTACCTGTGTGATTCCCTGTACGAAGGAGGTGTATATTACCTGTATGTTATGCGACACAGAGGTGTATGTTACATGCCTGGGCACATATATCCCACTTCTTAGTATTCTATAAGCCCAGGGCATTAATGTCACTTGAACGCAATGCAAAACCACTGGTTAAGGCAAGATAAGGCCAGATTAGTAAAATGAATACTAGAGGAATTACTAATTGAACTAAGCTCAATAAAGACCAGCTTGCAAATAGCCAGCTAGACCTGCTGTTGAAGAATAGAATTTATCTGAAATGTGCCTTTATCCACAAAGCTGCATTTAATTTGTTAAATAATTAACTTTAACAGGCCATTCTTGTTTAATTTTTAAGATGTCTATTTCTTTTTTTAAAAAATTCAGTCATGTGTATAATCTATAATTTATGTTTATACAGTAGTACATGCCAATAGAGATGACATGAAGTTGAAATAGCATGCTTATTTGAAGCAATTGATAAAAGAAAAATTCTTGTGATACAGATATATTCCAGAATTCAAAGGAGCACTTGTCATATACATAAACCTTAAGTTTTTAAAAATGTGGTCTAATACAAAGATGTCATTAAAATTATTTTTGTAGCATTTTTCAAATTATGGAAGCAGCATATATTATTATATGTATAATGAATTCTTACTGCATTAACACAATTGTATTATTTTAGCACTCTAAAGAAATGGATAAATTGTTATTTTTTTTCAGAATTATTCTCCTTTCAAAATAAATAAACATCATTACAAATTAAATGGTAAAGATGTTGATATCTGGATTAATCTATAAAAATGTCAATTACTAATCCTGCAAATACCACCTTCATATTTACTCAAAGTGGAGAAAAATTAAACAATGAACCAAATTAATTTCTCAAAAAACAAACAAAAAGAAAGCCATATTCCTAAAGTTTATTCTCTTCTACTAGTTAACTACATCTCACCATTTTATTATCACAAGTCACTTATGATTTTGTGTTTAGAAAAATGGTTAGGTCAATTATCGCATGTACATATATATTAATGTCACCAAAACATATGTTTCACAATGCTTTCAGGTACTAGTAACCAAATGCAATTCCTTCTTCAAAGTTAGCTTGTTTAATGTGGTACCATTAAGATGCTTTGGGATATTTTATTTTCTTGCCTATTTAAAACACTGATCAAAGTAAACATTTGACTATGGCCAGTTTTCCTGATATAATGTAAATTAAGAATGGTATTTGATTCATCTTTGATAGGACCCTAAATCACAGACTACACTTTCCTTGTTGAGTATCAAATGTACCAAGTAAACAATTTTTGGTCAGTATTAGTGAATTTATAAGGCTTAATTATACTAGGTTGCTTATGAGATGTGTAAAGTACATTACCTTTTTGTCTATAGCAGATGCAGATCTCTATATTTGTCCTACATATATAAGGCAATATTTAGAGAGAAAAAGAGGGAGTCAAGCTAATTGGGGTCAGAAAGAAGGAAGAGTAAAAGTGACAGATACATACTTGAAGCAAAGTTATTTGAGTTCTAAGCTTATTGTACAATATAACTAAGAATTTGTTCTTTGTGTGTTTTGTTAATCCTCACCCGAGGATATTTTTCCATTGCTTTTTTTTAGGGAGAGTGGAAGAGAGAGGGAAAGACAGGGAGAAACATTGATATGAGAGAAACACATGGATTGGTTGCCTCCTGCAT